AGTTAAATCTTATACTTGAGATAACAGAGGTAAAAAAAAAGTTTCATTTTTTTGGTTTACTTAAATTGAAGAACGAACTTATTATTAATATTTTTCTTAGAATATCAGCTTTCTTTATTGTGAGGTTTGATTTCTCATTCAGATGGGCTTTTACACTTTGCAATCGGCTATTTACAAGATGTTCACTTGCTAGATGGTCAGTTCCCTATTAAGTCTTAACTTTATGCCAATTTCTCCTCATTAATTTTTTTCCTTAGTTTTTTAAAATGTCCGAATGGGCATCACTCTGCTTATTCAATTTCAAAATTATCAAAATTTCCAGTCTTGTCCTTCACCTCATCAGTGATGTATGTGGCCTGAAAACATGAAACAACACATAAGATTTAGACATGGATGCGAGGGTATTTTCATTTTTTTTACACAAATAAGGTAAAGAAATGGAATCTGGCCAGGAAATTACAAATATGATGAAATTCTTTTTAAAAAAAGAATATTTCACTTTTAATGGGGGGTATTTTAGTCTTTTAATAAATAAAGAGAAGGAAATGGATTAACATACCAACATTTTTCATTAGTTAATTTTATTTACCAATTTTTATATTTCTTCGATCAAACTTTGAATTTTTCTTCTTTTCAATGAATTTTTCTGACTTTTGTCATTTTTTTCTTTGATTTCAGATTCATTTTGATTGGCACCAAATTCGGGTCATAACTGAAGAGGCTTGAGTTCATAATGTTTAAGCGTATTTTTAGGTAATGTAACAATTTCCTGTTATGGGAGTGGGGTTTGAGAAAATGATATATAATATATACAACTAATGTATGTTTCTTCATGCATGAGGAGGATGTTATTAGGCTAAAAGTCACTGAAGTTTTGATTTTAGAGTTTTAAGCACTGTTTGCTATGATGGAATATTTGAACGAATGGAATGCTTCATTTCATTGGAATGAAATTTCAAATTTTTGCTGCTTCCATGTCTTTTGTACATAAAACCTGAGAAAATGATGAGTTCTAACAAAATGTGGTTTTACATTTT